CTGTTTATGCTTGAACTTCAAGTATTTCCTGGATTCACCTCCTGGACTTAATGAGACTTTTCACTGCAGACTTAAATCTTGCTTCAGCCAGTTTAAATAAATAAATAAATAAATAAATAAATAAATAAATAAATAAAAACTAGTACTCTGTTTCTTTAATTAGAACATCTCCTTCATCTTTTCTTTTTTTCCTTTTCCTCTTCTTTAAAAATCCCTTCTGGAATTCCTGTTATTCTCTTGTTAGGCTGCCAGATCTGCCCTCCAAGCCTCTTATTTATTCCCTCATTATTCCTTTGTGTCTTTGTTACAGGTAGTAAGATATTTCGTTCACTTGGTCTTCCAGATAATTAATTCAATTTTTAACAGTGCCAGTGTTTTGTTTTGTGTTTTTAATTCTCCTACAGAAATTTTTAATAAAATTGAAAGTTAGTGGTTTTAATTCAGAGTCTTTCATACTGCCTTCTGATTTCTCATTGCTTTCATTATTGGTGTTCTCTTCCAATTGTTTTCATCATTTCTACCTCACTGAGACCTTCCTCTTAGAGGTGTTCTGTATGATCTTCTCTCTCAGGTAAACTAGTCCCCTAAGTTAGGTGTTATTTTTGTTTTGCCTACTCCTTAGTTTATGTTCTTTTGACTCTCATATAGGCTATAGGCTTTTATAGTCTCTTTGACATTAACAAATCTGAAAGCAGTGAAAGTTGCAGCAGTTTCTGCCCTGGTGTTCTTGCTGGCAGGGAACAAATAGTGAGTGACCCTTTTCCCTGGGTGGACTCAGCTCTCCTTTCCTGCTGCCAATCTTTGAAACAATTCACCCTGCTAGGATAACCCCTGTCTTTCTTGGGCTCCTATCTTGAATTCTGATCCTACAAATCACTCCTCCCACCCATGCTCTCACAACAGGAGAATGTAGGTGCACGTGAACACACACACGCACAGGCTGATAGGTCAGCTCGCCTGAGGGTGAATAGCTATCCTGAGAGTGCAGGTTGTTCACTAACACACCTGAGGGAATGACAACAGTGGTCCTAATAGAAGCCTCAGAGGGAAGCAAACCTTTTGTTCTGCTGCTGCTAGCTTGCCTTTACTTACTAACAAGACAAAGTCCTGTACTTGCTCTCTCTCTGCTGAAGGCTTCTGGAGAACCTGTGGCCTCAGATGCACTCTCTAAGTATTGCCAGTTGTGCTGTGCTCGTATATCCGTATTACCCAAGAGTTGATTTAAAGAGACCCAAATGGAAGGGACACACATAGTGTCTGAATAACCCTAATGCAGGAGGGACTTACCAGAGGCATCTGCAGCTGTAAAACTTCCTGCCTCCTGGGTTCGGTCACCTTCACTCCAAGCATACTCTCTGGCCACTTATTCTAACTTGCTGCGAGAACTGGACATCCCTCTCTTTGCCCTTATTGGGGGTGGGGAGGGAGAGTCTACCTGGATTGCTTAGTTATGCTGTAAAGTGTTGAGCTGTTTAACTATTGCTCTGTTATAAACCACAACCAATGCTCTGTAGTTCAACACAGTAATCATTTATTTGACTCACAGGTAGCTCATTTAGGCTCTTCTCTGCGGGGTGGTTCTTCTGTTCTCAGCTGGACTCACCCCCTCCAGTCTTGGCTCCCTGGAGATGTCTGATCCAGGCTGGGCTTGGTGGTCATTGCTCTGCCCCACATACCTCTTATCCTCCTCCTGGCACCAGTGGGCTAACCCTGAGTGATCTTCTCAGAAGTTCAAGAGAGCAAGCAGAAACACATAATGTATCTTGAAGCTTAGACTTGAAACTGGAATGCAGTCACTTCTGCCTCATTATTTTGGCCAAATCCAGTCACATGACCGAATCCAAAGTCTAGAGGTAGGAAAGGCGGCCCTGCCCACAGTGTGAGGTTGGGAGGGGGAGGGTGTAGCACTGCAAATTAGGTGGCAAAGTATGTGGATACCTAGAGAGTGGAAGACTTGGGACCATGAACTCAGCCTGCCTCAGCATTTAAGAATTGCAATGAAACATTTCCAAGTTATAATGCTACTTCAAAGGAGACAGCCATGAGGTTAGCTTGGAGGTAGTGAGGATTCTTGTGCAGAGGACACATTGGAACTGGACCATAAGAACAACATAGAGTTTTCCAAGTAGACAACATTGAGTGAAAGGAGCAAAAATCAGTCAAGATGGAAGGGACAGAATAGAGGCACAGAAGTCTGCAAATGAATGGGGCATTTGGCGAGTGAAGAGTTGTCGTATGTGGATCGATCCTTAGAAGCAATCCTTCCACACAGTCTTTTGTTTCATTTCATTGTTCTTTCCAGTGAGCTATCATAGCTTCTAAAAAGTTGGAATTTCAGGCATTGTTCCAGGAAGAGTTATCTGTTGTATATTCTTCAGAACATGCTGCATAGATGGCTGCTTTCTTTATACCTCAAAAAATTATTTTGCTTAAATAAGGTGAAGGGTTTAGCACATATGTATTAAGTTTCTACTGGGACTAGTGTTCCTTCAATATATTGGTGCCACTTAACTTAGCGCAATGTGTTCTGCCATATATGCCACATGTGAAAAAAATACTGAGAAATAACATTTGTTTGCTTTCAGAAGACATTTAGGTTTCACAAAATGTGAGCTCTCCTGTGGAGCCCTCCCTGACACTTTCTCCCCCTTTCTCCCACCAGGTTCTCCTGCCAGAAGTTCTCATGTCTCTCTCTACTTTCTACAGAACATTTTTGTTAGGATGTGATTTTAGTGTGATTGTTTGATCACTGTCTCCTCAATTAAATTGTCAGCTTCTAGGAGAGCAGTAGACCAGGTCTTTTGCGTATAACTGGTTCCCCAGAGCCTAGCATAGTGCCAGGGTCATAGTGACTGAATACTAAATATTTGTTAAGTGAGTGAGTGAATGAGTGAATCACTGTGAATGACTGAATGAGATAGGCCTAGACTATTGACTCTATGAGATAGGTAGGTTTTGGTTTATCTGTAAAACTGCAAGCGTTCCCCAGGTTTATCACTTACCTGTGGTGAGGCAGACAGACCATATTCATTCTCTAGAGCTTCCATTCAGTCAGTATTCATCATGGCTTGACATATGGCGGAATGTGGACTAGGTACTGGTGATGTGGAGATCACTAGGGCTGGTTGTGCTCTGAAGGAGTTGCTGGTTTAGTGGCAGAGATAGAGAAGGAAAGGGGCAAAGGCAATCATTGTGTTAAGTGTTAAGATACAGGTATGTCCACATTGAACTTGGAGAAGAGGCTTTGGACTCAGCTGGCCCTTCACTGGGGCTTTTTGTAAAGGGGCAGAGTCTGAACTGAGTCACGAAGGCTAATCAGCAGTTGGACACGTAACAAGGAAGAACATTCTGGGCAGAATGGAGTAAAGGTTTCAAGGTACAGGGAAGTGAGCAATCACGGCCACTATAGGATACTTCAAGTAGTTCAGTGTTGCAGAATGGAGAAAGCAAGGGTGGGGATGGCAAGCGAGGAAGCTGGAGGTCAGCATGGTCATGTCACAGAGGGTCGCTCAAGCCCAGCCAAGGACGGGACTTTTTCCTGAAGGGAGTGAGGAGCAATTGAAGGGTTTGAATCAAGGGTTGGTGTCATCGGGTTTTAACCTTATGAAGTTTGCTCTGGACACAAGGGAGAACAGATTGGAAGGCATGGGACTCTTGGGAAGAAGATATATAAAGAAGCAGTTAATTATACAGTGTGATAAGGTCTGTGTGAGATTTGATTCCTGCGCTGTGATCTCAGAGGAGGAGCATCTAAACTAGAACTGGGGTCTCAGTCTAGTCTAAAGGAAGTGTTTCAAGTTATCAGGGTTAAGAAGCTGGGAAGAATTTTCCAGGCACCTAGAAGTAGGGTAGAGGCACAGAAGTGTTCAGGAATGTGACCTCTTCAGAGTGCTGCAAAGGATTCTTTATTGCTGGAGTGTAGAATACTAAGAGGGAATTGATGAGAAATGAAGCTGGAGAGTAAAACGCCATCCAGAAGCAAGCCTTCCTTCTGTTAAATATTGCTTTAGACTGCAGTTATCACATCTATACCAATAACTTTTTTTTTTTACTTTTTTATCGTAGAGAATTTTGAACCTGTACAAAATAGAGAAGTATAGCCGAACACCCATTTAGCCACCCTCAGCCCTACAGCCGTCAACCCGTGGCCGGTTCTGTTCCATCTGCAACACCATTCACTTCCCCTTCACTTGCTCTTCTAAAGCAGATCCCAGATAATGTATCTTTTTTTTTTTTTTTTTTTTTTTTTTTTTTTTTT